TGTTTATTTATTTGTTTATTTGCTTTTATTTATTTATTTATTTGTTTGTCTGTCTGCCTGTGCATTAATAAATAAATGCAGAATTAAATGTCTGTTTTTATCCATTTATTTATGCATTTATTTATCTATTTATGCATTTATTTATATTTGCATTCATTAAAGAAATTAACGTACTTGTATTTTACATGTAGGTTTTAACAATTTAGATTTAAAAATTATGAATAAGTAAATAAAGCAAATTCTACTGACTAATGAATCATTTCTGACAAAATCTTCATTCATTTTCATAATCATTCATTTTTTTTTAAAGCAAGTAAAATAATCTGCTAATGAGGTAAACAAAATAATCCAGTTTTTTTACTATGACATCATATTACTTTGCTTACTCCATTGGCAGAAACTTTAGCTTGTTTTAAGAAAAAACTCACTTCTTTACTCAAAAAAAAAAAAATGTAAATAAGAAAAGGCTTTTTTGAAGTGCAGTAAATCTTACAATTTGCTGACACAAACACACTTCAAGCCGCATTAGTATCTGCTTTCTCTAATACTCTCCATTGTCTCTCTATCATTCCCTGTAATTCTTTCATCCCTCCGTCTGTCCTCCTCCACCTCTGATCTGTGTCTGGTTTTTCCATCAATCCTTCACTCCCACTATTTATTCCCAGTCGCTGAAAACCCAAATGCCTCTTCTCGCATCTGATGAACTTCTCAACCCGAACGTCGTCTGCTTAATTGAGTTTAGCCTCTTGTTTATGAATTGCTCTGGAGGAACGAAAATAATGAGATGTTTGAGCGGGAACATTTACTAATCATTTGGTTTATGTTAATTGTTGTGAGCGGCCCACATACAGCTGAAGAGTTATTAGCCCTGCTTTTCTTATTTCCCAAATGATGTTTAACAAGGAAATTTGCACAGTATGTCTGATAATATTTTTTCTTCTGGAGAAAGTCTAGTTTGTTTTATTTCAGCTAGAATGAAAGCCGTTTTTAGGTTTTGTAAAGCCATTTTAAGGTCAATATTATTAGCCCCCTTAAGAAAATATTTGTGGTAGAAGAGACACGAGATTGGATTCACGAGATGAGATTTTTGCACCATTCATTCATTCACTTGTTCATTCATTCATTCATTCATTCATTCATTCATTCATTCATTCATTCATTCATTCATTCACTTGTTCATTCATTCATTCACTTGTTCATTCACTTAATTGTTCATTCATTCATTCATTTACTTGTTCATTCATTCATTTAATTGTTCATCCATTCATTCATTCATTTATTTACTTGTTCATTCATTCATTCATTTACTTGTTCATTCATTCATTTAATTGTTCATTCATTCATTCATTCATTTACTTGTTCATTCATTCATTTAAATGTTTATCCATTCATGCATTCATTCATTTACTTGTTCATTCATTGATTCATTTACTTGTTCATTCATTCATTCATTCATTTAATTGTTCATTCATTCATTCATTTGTTCATTCATTCATTCATTTACTTGTTCATTCATTCATTCATTTAATTATTCATTCATTCATTTACTTGTTCATTCATTCATTTAATTATTTACTTGTTTGTTCATTCATTCACTTGTTCATTTATTTATTAATTTACTTGTTCATTCATTTACTTGTTTAGTCATTTATTCATTCATTGTTTTTTTTAAGGGTCACGAAACACTAAAGCACATGTTTTGAGCTGTTGACAGTCATATATGTGTTTCACGCTGCTATTATTACTATTATTAAATATTTGACTTAAATATTGTTGCTGGAGAGTGAATAATATTGACGTCAATAGTGGCTACAAGGATTAATGATGGGACCCAGATGTGCTTGTGTTTTTAGTTTAACATACCTTCTGCATAAATACAGTAGCACCTTCTAATATCGTGATTGGCCAATCAGAATCCAGTATTCCAGAGAGGCCTGTAATAAGTCGATATATTGACTATGGCGACGGGTCTTGTTGATACAAGCACTGTAAACGCAGTAACAATAAACAGCAGAATCGATAGAGCGGGCTGGTGCCGCAGGATTGAATAATGCTGTGGAGCAGAGCACTGATCAATGGAGACAACCTTCAATACTCTGACATTTGGCACACAGTCTCTCTCTCTCTCTCTCTCTCTTTACTGCACATGCACTATTACTGCTGCTGCTCATATCTGCGAATAAACTCTCACAGACTTCAGTGAGTCGGAGTGAAACTGGGCTTGTTAAGCTGAGGTGTTATTTCTGGTTTGTCTCGTGTGTTTCCTGTTCATTAATACACAGGTTTACATGTTCATTCATTCATTCATTCATTCATTCATTCATTCATTCATTCATTCATTCATTCATTCATTCCTTTATTCATTCATTTACTTGTTCATTCATTCATTTATTCATTTACTTGGTCATTCATTCATTAATTTACTTGATTGTTCATTCATTCATTCATTTACTTGTTCATTCATTCATTAATTTACTTGTTCATTCATTCATTCATTCGTTCATTCATTCATTTATTTATTTACTTATTCATTCATTAATTTACTTGTTCATTCGTTCATTCATTCATTAATTTACTTGTTCATTCAATTATTTATTTACTTATTCATTCATTCATTTACTTGTTCATTCATTCATTCATTTATTGACTTGCTCGTTCATTCTTTCATTTACTTGTTTATTCATTCACTTACTTGTTCATTCATTCATTCATTCATTCATTCATTCATTCATTCATTCATTCATTCATTCATTCATTCCCTTGTTCATTCATTCATTCACTTGTTCATTCATTCATCCATTCAGTCATTCACTTGTTCATTCATTTACTTGTTCATTCATTCATTTATTCATTCAATCATTCACTTGTTCATTCATTTACTTGTTCAAAATTCTGAATTTAAACAAACAAACTAAGTTGACACTTTATTAAACTTAATCTGTTTGTTTAAATTCAACACAAATAAGTTGTTTGCAACAGTTCTGCATGCAACACTTTTTCAGTGTAAACATGTTTCTTCTAATGACACAGTTTTTTTTTTTTTTAAAGGGTTTTGAGGCATTTTTTGAACTAATTTAAGCTGAAATCAGGCTTTTTTTAATGGATTTAATTTTGATTTATCTGTTATATGCATTAACTCGATAGTACAAAAAAAAAAAACACATGCTTTATGAACATGACTAAGATGGAGTTTTCTGATTTTAGAAAGCTCTTGACATGTTTAACCATGTCTCAGTGTTTTCAGTGTGTTCTGATCTGCACGTGTCTTCGGTGAATGGTTTCTCTCAGTGACGCTGTATGTTTCTCTGGCCTGCTGAACTCCACACAGGCTGAAGTTTCCCACAATAGCGCTCGCTGCAGATGATGAATGCTGTGTGACGTGGGTTTAGTCCCGGTGGAAGCGGCTCTTCATTTCAGATGTGCTATAATGAGGATACAGATGCTCAGAATACAGCACAGCAAATAAACCACAGCAGCAGCAGCAGCAGTGTGCTTTTACACTCATAATGTCTTCAAAATCTCTGTGCTATTTTCAGAATTTTACAAAACACTAATTTTAAAAAAAAATCCTACACGTTTAAAACCCCTTTAGTGCTTGAAATGATGTGTAAATTTTACAGCTTTTACAATGACTATGACAGTTTTTCAATTCCTTTAACAAGTTTGATAGTCCCTTATTTATCTGAGTTCACCACAGCGGAATGAACCACCAACTATTCCAGCATATTTTTTACAAAGCGGATACTGTTCCAACTGCAACCCAGTACTGGGGAACACCCATAAACACACGCACTACACTCTCAGAAATAAAGGAACGCGAGCTGTCACTGGGCTGGTACCTTTTTAAAAGTTACACATTTGTACCTAAAAGGTCCATATTAATACCTCAAGGGTACACACTATTCAATTCAGTTCAGCTTTATTTGTATAGCGCTTTTACAATGTAGATTGTGTCAAAGCAGCTTCACATAAATGGTCATAGTAACTGGATCAGTGTAGTTCAGTTTTTAGTGTTTAAGTTCAGTTCAGTTTAGCTCAGTTCAGTGTGATTTAATATCATTACTGAGAGTCCAAACAATGAAGAGCAAATTCATCGATGCACAGCTCTACCAATCCTGAACCATGCGAGCCAGTGGCGACAGCGGAGAGGGAAAAAAAAAATTCACCTGCTAGGACTAGTACCTTAAAAGCACAAAAAAAAGCTCCTCTTAAAATTTTAGGTAATAATATATTCTTTTGAGGTACCAAAATGGACCCTTTAAGTACAAATGTGTAGGAACCACCCCAGTGACAACTCGCGTACCTTTATTTCTGAGAGTGTAGTGCATGAGTGTGCATGTGTGTATGAGTGTTTCCCAGTACTGGGTTGCAGCTGGAGAAGCATCTGTTTCGTAAAAAATATGCTGGAATAGTTGCCGGTTCATTCCGCTGTGGTGACCTCAGATAAATATATGTTATAGATAAATACATGTAAATATTTCTGAGAGTGTAGAGCCAATTTAGTTCAACAATTCCCCTATAGCGCATGTGTTTGCACTGTGTTTTGGTAGCGACAGCGCTAAACATGTTTTAAAACAAGGTAAGAGTTCATCATTAGGCCAATTGAAGATCAGTATCTGGCCGATCTCATAAACCGATCGCAAAGTGTTCAGCTTATACATCCATAACGTGAGCAATGCATCCAAATTGCATTGTCACGTCATTTTTTTCACCATTTTTGTCTATCGGTTTTATCTAACCTTTTTGTAAAGCTGCTTCTGACATGTTTACAAAATCCTTAATCGATTCTCTTAGCTAAGGCGGTAGAGGGATCATGTGCTTATGCAAGTGTAGTTATATAAAGCTTGAAGCATCAGAATCTGTATTTTTGGTTATCGTCTGATCATAACCAAATCGTCTGACTCAGTATCAGCTGCAAAAATCCTTATCAGAGCATCCCTATTCATCATCATCATCATCATCATCATCACTGACTTGTGTATTTGTTTATTTCCTGACAGAAACTGAAACAGAAGAATCAGCAGCTGAAGATGATCATGGACCAGCTCAGGAACCTCATCTGGGAGATCAACTCCATGCTGGCGGTCAGGAGCTGAGAACACACACTCACACGTACAAACAATCTCTCTCCCACAAACTAATACACACAGGTATCAACGCATTAAAGAAGAAAAGGTATGAAGTGAAGAGAGGCTGAGCTGAGGAAACTCTACATGCACACACACACACACACACACCTCGGCTTCAGCAGTGTTCAGTCTGATGAACATTAGAGGCTCGTTCACTCAGACACGCTTTCAAACGAAGCTTTTACGCAACTGTAGTCATCAGATTCTGCATGAGCGATAACAGATTCACTTTACTCTGCATTTCTCATTCAGAAATCTGTTGTGTGAGATGTAGAATGCATATTACTGTGCTGTTAATATATATATACACGTATTTAAACAAACAACAAAAACTCTGCTTCTTGTTTGTGTTTGTTGCATGTTTTTGGTACAGGTATTACAGTTCAGTGTGTGTGTGTGTTTAACCACTGCATAAAATGTATAGATTTACACTAAACTGTGAACTGACATCATTACAGAAACATTTTAAAAAGTATAAAATATTATATATTATTAAATATTATATATTAATATTCTATCTATCTATCTATCTATCTATCTATCTATCTATCTATCTATCTATCTATCTATCTATCTATCTATCTATCTATCTATCTATCTATCTATCTATCTATCTACCTATCTATCTATCTATCCACCTGTCTATCTATCTATCTATCTATCTATCTATCCATCCATCCATCCATCCATCCATCCATCCATCCATCCATCCATCCATCTATCTATCTATCCATCCACCTATCTATCTATCCATCCATCCATCCATCCATCTATCTATCTATCTATCCATCCATCCATCCACCTATCTACCTATCCATCCATCCATCCATCCATCCATCCATCCATCCATCCATCCATCTATCCATCTATCTATCTATCCATCCATCTATCTATCTAGCTATCCATCCATCCACCTATCTACCTATCCATCCATCCATCCATCCATCCATCCATCCATCCATCCATCCATCTATCTATCTATCTATCTATCTATCTATCTATCTATCTATCTATCTATCTATCTATCTATCTATCTATCTATCTATCCATCCATCCATCCATCCATCTATCTATCTACCTATCCATCCATCCACCTATCTACCTATCCATCCATCTATCCATCCATCCATCCATCCATCTATCTATCTATCTATCTATCTATCTATCTATCTATCTATCTATCTATCTATCTATCTATCTATCTATCTATCTATCTATCTATCTATCTATCTATCTATCTATCTATCTACCTATCCATCCATCCATCCATCCATCCATCTATCTATCCATCTATCCATCCATCTATCTATCTATCTATCTATCTATATTTATCTATCTATCCATCCACCTATCTACCTATCCATCCATCCATCTATCTATCTATCTATCTATCTATCTATCTATCTATCTATCTATCTATCTATCTATCTATCTATCTATCCACCTATCCATCCATCCATCCATCCATCCATCCATCCATCCATCCATCCATCTATCTATCCACCTATCTATCTATCTATCTATCTATCTATCTATCTATCTATCTATCTATCTATCTATCTATCTATCTATCTATCTATCTATCTATCTATCTATCTATCTATCTATCTATCTATCTATCTATCTATCTATCTGTTTTGTCTATCCATGTCTGTCTATCTATCTATCAATATATCTATTTACAGTATCTGTCTATCTATCAAATAAAATAATATTGTATACCATAAAGCACAAATTTACAGTAACACTTGATGGAAGCATCCTATATAAAAAGCACAGCGGTCTACAATAATGCTTGAATAATTAAACTGATGTTCAATACGCTTCACATTATATGCAGTGCCTCTGGATGTCTAGACCTTTTAAATCATACAAAAAAAATGAAGATGCAAGTCATGCCGTTCTAGCATCAAATATGACTTTATTCATTTTCTTATAAATCATTCATACAAAATTGGCATTTCGCAATTTCTTTATTCGTCTATAAAAAGTCATCTGTTAATCACTGGGCTGAGGGGTCAGGACAGGAGGGAGCCAAATAAAAAAAACAAAGACAAAAATAACCCCAAATAAATCAGCGTTTACTCATAAATAGCCTAAAGTGGTCATGCAAGTCTGGTTAACAGCCGAACGTGTGTGTGCGTGTGTGTGGTGTTTAATGTTTGCAGATGATTTGTTCATTTCTGTCCCAGACCACAAACTCAGTTCAGCTGAATCAAAAGGCACAATCAGGGAGAAATCAGAGCCGTTTTAGCGCATGATTGCTTATTGCTAAATTACAGAACAGAAGGAAAGTATCAAGATAAAGCCCATGCTTACATATTCTTTTGGACCAGTTATGATGTGATGAATGAAATAATATCTTAAGAAATCAGAGAGAATAATACAAATGCATGAGTTTAAATCCGCCAAGACTCTTTGGTGATCTTGCATGTGTGTGTCTGTGTGTGCGCGTGGTTAGCAGCAGCATTCAACAGGCCAGTTCACATCAATGGCTTTATCATGTTACAGTAAATAACACTGATGACTATACAGACACCTATCACGGGTTGTCTGCACACAGTTAGGGGCAGATCTGGAGCTCACTGCACTGTAAAAAGCAAGTAGTTACTAATCTTAAAACTCATTACAACTAATCTCTTTTAAAAAACATTGGTTTTATTCAAATTTTAACGTCAACTAATCACTTTTAAAGCATCGGTTTTATTTCAATTTTAACGTAAAGTCAAAACTAATCACTTTTAAAGCATTGTTTACTCAAATTTCAAAGTCAACCAATCATTGAATCGATTTCAAAGTCAACCAATCGTTGAATCGCTTTCAACGTCAACCATTCATTGAATCGTTTTTAAAGTCAACCAATCGTTGAACCGGTTTCAAAGTCAACCATTCGTTGAATCGCTTTCAACGTCAACCAATTGTTGAATTGCTTTCAACGTCAACCAATTGTTGAATCGTTTTTAAAGTCAACCAATCATTGAACCGCTTTCAAATTCAACCAATCGTTGAATCGCTTTCAAATTCAACCAATCGTTGAATCGCTTTCAAAGTTGACCAATCGTTGAATCGCTTTCAAATTCAACCAATCGTTGAATCGCTTTCAAAGTCGACCAATTGTTGAATCGCTTTCAAAGTCGACCAATCGTTGAATCGCTTTCAAATTCAACCAATCGTTGAATCGCTTTCAAAGTCGACCAATCGTTGAATCGCTTTCAAAGTCAACCAATCGTTGAACCGATTTCAAAGTCAACCAATCGTTGAATCGCTTTCAAAGTCGACCAATCGTTGAATCGTTTTCAAAGTCGACCAATCGTTGAATCGTTTTCAAAGTCGACCAATCGTTGAATCTCTTTCAAATTCGACCAATCGTTGAATCGCTTTCAAAGTCAACCAATCGTTGAACCGATTTCAAAGTCGACCAATCGTTGAATCTCTTTCAAATTCGACCAATCGTTGAATCTCTTTCAAAAATCGACCAATCGTTGAATCTCTTTCAAATTCGACCAATCGTTGAATCGCTTTCAAATTCGACCAATCGTTGAATCGTTTTCAAAGTCAACCAATCGTTGAATCGCTTTCAAATTCGACCAATCGTTGAATCGCTTTCAAAGTCAACCAATCGTTGAATCGCTTTCAAATTCGACCAATCGTTGAATCGCTTTCAAAGTCAACCAATCATTAAATCGCTTTCAAAGTCAACCAATCGTTGAATCGTTTTTAAAGTCAACCAATCGTTGAATCGCTTTTAGAGTCAACCAATCGTTGAATCGCGTGTAAAGTCAAGAAATATTATGCAATTAGTTGACTTTTTAAAATAAAGTGAGTAAACCCAAATCATTATAATTATTAAGTAAATTAACTATGTGCATAAAAAAAAAATGTTAAGTCAACTTAACAGCTAGAAGTTCTAACAGGTTTACTCACTTTTTCAGGCAAGTACCCATTCGCTTTTTACAGTTTGGCCCATTTTACAAGCCCAGATTTCCACTTAATGGGCTGTGCAATATTAAACCAATCAGATGCTTTGTTCTTATACTCCAGCTGCATGGGCTGTGTACAGTGATATGTGGCCGGCGCAACATTGTATGTCAATTCTGTGATATGACAATCATAGGTATAAAAAGCTAAATTAAATAATTTGCAGAATTGAACGAGATGTGTGCTAAAAGTAGAAAGAAACAAAACAGACATTTTCTCAAGGGGGCAAATACAGCTGACTTGAAACTAACTCATGCACTCGTATAGCGAGACTCAAGCGCCTAAACAATGTCAACACCTAGAAACTGAATTCAGGCCATAATTATGATTTGCAATGTTAGTTCAATTACACTAGCTTCAATAATGACTGCTTGTGTTTTTAAAACCACGAATAACTTATTAAAATACAACATTCAGAGTCAGATATGTGTTGGAATTAAGCATGTAGAAGTAGACTAAATGTAGTGTATGATATGTCAGGACTGGCTGAATGGTGAAAAATAAAAAAGGCTTTGGCTCACAGCTGGCACTTTTTAAAGGAACACCACTTTTCCGGGGAAAATAGGCTTATTTTATGGCTCTCATAGAGTTAAACAGTTTAGTTTAGTATTTTTGTATCTATTCTGGATCTGGCAGAAGCACTTTTAGCTTAGCTTAGCATAAATCATTGAATCGGATTAGACCATTAGCATTAAAAAAAAAAGTTACTATATTTTCCCATTGAAGCAGCTCAATGATGTTAGGCAGTGCTGTTATCTAGCTGGGGACTATTTTCAGCTGCTGTGTAGTATAATTACATGGTACGACAGCAAGTTTAATTGATTATAACGCCAAAATTAGAGTATATTTAAGTCATATAAATAGCAACTTTTAAGTTCTGTCAGTCTTGCATCCACAGAAGAGTCAAGCTTTAAATAGGAAAAAAATCATGGCAACTCTTTTGAGTTTTTTTTTTTTTTTTTTTTTTTGAGCGAGATGCTGATGGTCCAATCCGATTTAATGATCTATGCTAAGCTAAAAGTGCTCCTGCTAAACCCAGATATCAGTGGAATGGATTACAACAATGGTAAAACTCATTTAACTGTAGCGGAGCTGTAAAATCAGCTTATTCAAAACAAGTGGAGTGTTTCTTTAAGTCCAGTCACCTTCACTAAAGGCCACTAAACACAGCTCTCCTTCAAGTCTTCAGATATTCAAGTACCAGCGAGCGGAGGCTGAAAACACCCAGAAACTTCACCTCCAGAGCAGATCACGCACATGTTGATCAGAGCAAACACTTGTGGGTTTCTAGAGGATGTAAATCAGCCAGATGTGTTCATTTGAGGAGGAACGATGGACTTATGACGCACAGATCGTTTTGCAGGAGAACGATAAAGCAGAGATCAGAGGAAATCTCACCGTTTCTGCACTGTAAGCCTTTGTTTACATGCTAATTCTTTCATTAACACTATTTTTTCTCTGAGGATTTAGGGAATTGTAATTATTTTTTTATTTGAATGCATTTTTAAGGTGGATTTGCATGAATTAATTGGGTAGGGCGATTTGACAAGCCACTTAAGGCAACTCAGTCTTGGCACTGATTTTTAAGAAAATAAAATACATGTATGAGAAATAAAACACTGCAGGGTGTTTGAATGGTGGCTACAGCACTAATAAGATGAAGCGTTATATCCAATGACGCTCTATTTGTTTACTTATCAGCTTTGATCATTTAGATGCATTGGCAATGACTCATTATGAAGCCTTAGAAACGAACACAAAAACTAATACCCCAAAATGTAAAGATGGGTTACAGGTTAAAAAAAAGTGCCGACTGCAATATAATCCAGCATTGGAATTTTTAGAAATGCAACTTCCTGTTTGAGCAGATTCTTAAAGGGACAGTACTCCAAACTCTAAACTGAAAGCTGAAAATTCTGTCATTATTCACTCATGATTCACACACTTATTTCAGTTTTTTCTTTTTCTGTTGAACACAAAAAGAAAAAGATGTTTAGAGAAATGTTGGTAGCCTTTCATACTAATTTTTATCCGACTATTGAAATCAATGGGTGAAGCTACCAGCTACCAGCTACCAGAAGAAACTCAAAGGTTAAAAACCACACGGGGAGAGGAAGATTTGAGAGAAATATCCCTTTACACGATGCTGATGCTCAACAGATATGACCGTGATTGGCTCTAATCATCACTTCTCATCATGTACACCAGGGGGCACCAAACTTGTGTCCTGCAGATCTTAGCTCCAACCTTAATCAAACACACCTGAACAGCTAATCAAGGTGTATACTTGAAACACTCAGGCAGGTGTGTTGAAGCAAGTTGGAGCAAAACCCTGCAGGGACACCGGCCCTCCAGGACCGAGATTGGTGACCCCTGATGTACACAGATATTAGAACACCTTAAAGTCACATCTATTAAAGGATCTGTCTATATACGAGTGATCTGCTGATGGATAAACCTGACTTTCATATTGGTGATATTACATATGATGATCAGCGGAGCCAATCACAGTCATTTCTGATGACAATGTGAACATATTGGCCAATCAGAGGACTTTAAAGAGAGAGTTCACGCATTGTTTAAGTTCCTCAACATTTACTCACACGTGGATGTAAACTTTGAGTTTCCGTCTTGTGTTGAACACAAAAGAAGATGTTTTGAAAAATGCTGGTTGACTTCTATAGTAATTTTATTCCTACCATTGAAATCAAGGGGTGCCAGCAACCAGCATTCTTCAAAATATCTTCTTTTGTGTTCAACAGAATAAAGAAAGTCAAAGGTTTAAAACCACATGCGGGACACTAAAATATGAGGTATTTTTATTTTTGGGTGCTGCTGATTGGCTATTGTAAATCACATGCTCAACAGATATTCCTGATTGGCTCTAATAATAATAATCTTTCATCATGTACACGGATATTAGAGCAATTAAAAGTCACATCTAGAAGAGGATCTGTCTATATACACGAGTAATCTTCTGTTAAACACAAAAGAAGATGTTTTGAAAAATGCTGGTAGCCATCGACTTCCATAGTAATTTTATTATGACTATTAAAATCAATGGGTGCCAGTGAGCAGCATTCTTCAAAATCTCTTCTTTTGTGTGAATGAAGAAACTCAAAGGTTAAAAACCACATGGAGAAGAGTAAAATTTGAGAGAAATATCCCTTTACATGATGCTGATTGGCTGTTATGATCACATGCTCGACAGATACGAGCGTAATTGGCTCTCATATTAATTTCTCATCTACACAGATATTAGAGCAATTAAAAGTCACATCTATAAGAGGATCTGTCTATGAGCAGATATACAAGTGAGATAAACTAATTAACCTGACTTTCATAGAGGTGATATTACATTTGATGATCAGTGGAGCCAATCACAGTCCTGTCTGATGACAACGTGATCATAAAAGCCAATCAGAAGACAGTTCACCCAAACATGAGAAGCATTTACTCACTCAAGTGGTGTCAACTTATGACTTTCTTTTCTTCTGATGGACACAAATCAAGGTTTTTTCGAAGAATTTTCGAAAAAATAAATCAGCTATTGACCTCCGTAGTGAAAACAAAACACTGGAAGCCAATGATATATATTCTTCAGTGCATCTTTCTTTGTGTTCAGCAGGATGTTTGGATCAAGTGGAGGATGAAGAAACAATGACATTTTTTTTTTGAACTGTCCTTTTAAGAATCCATTTAACAAACAAGTTCAGATGCAAAAATCTGTAATTGACATCTGAACACTGTGTTTATGTTCAGTTATTTCCCTTTTAAGAGAATAAAATAAATTATTCTTTACTATCAAAGTGAAATGACTGAACCTGAGAAAAATGCTCATTTCAGAAGAAAAATTAAAGAGACAGGTCACTCAAAAAATGTTAATCGTGTCATCATTAACTGGCTTCAATCCTTTTTAGAGTTTCTTTCTTCTGTTGAACACCAAAGAAGATATTTTGAAGAATGTTGGAAACCTGTAACCACTGACTTCCATAGTAATTGTATTTCCTACTTTGGAGGCCAATGGATTTCAGCTTTCTTCAAAATATTGTCTTTAAAGTGTCCAACAGAAGAAAGAAACTCATAAAGGTGAAGTGAAATAAATAAATATATTCAAAAATAAAGTTTTTGGATGAACTTTCTTTAAGAGTTTTTTTTTTTTTTTTGCATCTGAACTGTATAAATCTCATTTTAGCATCAAAGTGGGAGTTTTGATAACACAAATATGACTGGATCTGGATGAAGAAGAAAAAAGAAGATATTTTGAAGAATGTTGGGAACCTGTAACCATCGACTTCCATAGTATTTGTTTTCCTACATTGGAGGTTGATGTTTTTTGGCTGAGTAGAATAATCAAACTGGTAAAGGTCTTCATTCATCAATTATTTGAGGGAGAATAAACTCCAAGTTATCATTTTTGGGTGAACTGTCCCTTTAAGAGTTTTGTTTGCATCTGAACTTTTTATTTAACTACAAAATCTCTATGATTTTAGCATCACAGCGGGGCACTTTTGATAACACTAATATGAATGGTTCTGGATGAAGAGGAAAATAAGATATTTTGAAGAATGTTGTAACCATTGACTTCCATAGTATTTGTTTTCCTACATTGGAGTTCGATGGTTTTCGGCTTTGTACAGAATAATCAAATTGATAAAGGTCTGAAATTATTTGAGGGTTTGCATCTGAATTCTTCATTTACAACTTTAAAATCTCTGTACACTTGATAACACTAGTATGAATCGATCTGGATGAAGAAGTAAAAAAAAAAGAAGATATTTTAAAGAATGTTGGAAACCTGTAACCATTGACTTCCATAGTAGGAAAAACAAATACTAGGAAACACAATAGTTTTCAGCTTTCAACAGAAAAAAAAACTCATAAAGGTCTGTAATCAGTTGAGGGAGAATAAACTGACTAAATGATCATTTCTGGGTGAACTGTCATTTTAAGAGTTTTGTTTGCGTCTGAATTATAAATATAACTTTAAAATCTCTGTATTATTTTAGCATCACAGTGGGAAAATTTTGATAACACTAATATGACTGGATCTGGATGAAGAAGAAAAAAGAAGATATTTTGAAGAATGTTGGGAACCTGTAACCATTGACTTCTATAGTATTTGTTTTCCTACATTGGAGGTTGATGTTTTTTTGGCCTTGAACAGAATATTTAAACTGGTAAATGTCATCATTCATCAATCATTTGAGGGAGAATAAACTCTTAAGTTATCATTTCTGGGTGAACTGTCCCTTTAAGAGTTTTGTTTACATCTTGAACTTTAAAATCTCTATGATTTTAGCATCACAGTGGGGCACTTTTGATAACACTAATAAGAATGGTCCTGGATGAAGAAGAAAATAAGATATTTTGAAGAATGTTGTAACCACTATCTCTCATAGTATTTGTTTTTCCTACGGTGGAAGTCAATGGGTTTTCAGCTTTCAACAGAATGAAGAAACTGAAAGTTCTGCAAATCATTTAAGGGAGAATAGACACTGACTAAATTATCATTTCTGGGTGAACTGACTCTTTAAGAGTTTTGTTTGCTTCTGAATTCTTCATTTACAACTTTAAAATCTCTGTACAATTAACACTAGTATGAATGGATCTGGATGAAGAAGAAAAAAAAAGAAGATGTATTGAAGAATGTTGGAAACCTGTAACTATTGACTTCCATAGTATTTGTTTTTCCCACTGTGAAAGTCAATGGTTTTTCAGCTTTCAACAGAATAAACAAACTGATAACGGTCTGAAATCATTTGAGGGAGAATAAACACTGACTAAATGATCATTTCTGGGTGAACTGTCCCTTTAAGAGTTTTGTTTGCATCTGAACTCTTCATATAACTTTAGAATCTCGCGTCATTTCAGCATCAGTCTGCACTTTTGATAACAGTAGATGTAGTGGATCTTGATAAAGAAGACAAAAGAAGATGTTTGAAGAACGTTGGAAACCTGTAACCATTGACTTCCGTAGTATTTGTATTTCCTAATTTGACAGTCAATGGTTTTCAGCTTTTAACAAGTAATAAAGTTTAGGAATAATTCGAGGGAGAATAAACAGGGTGAACTGTCCCTTTAAGAGTTTTGTTTGCGTCTGAATTCTTCATATATCTTTGAAATCCCTGTACTATTTTAGCATCACAGTGGGAACTTTCCATAACACTAATATGAATGTATCTGGATGTAAAAGAAAAAAGAAGATACTTTGAAGAATGTTGAAAACCTGTACCCATTGACTTCAATGGTAGGTAAAACAAATACTATGGAAGTCAATGGTTTTCAGCTTTCTCAGGTCTGGAATCATTTGAGGGAGAATAAACACTGACTAAATGATAATTTGTGGGTGAACTGTCCCTTTAAGAGTTTTGCTTGGTTCACAGTGGGCACTTTTGATAACACGCGTATGAATGGATGTGGATGGATATGAAGTGCTAAACACAATGATGCGTCCCTCCTGTCGCTCGTGTGCTGGGAAAGATCATCTGTGGCGTCCCCAAAACCAAATCTTCCCTCCAGAGGTGTCCGTCAGATGTGTGTGTGTTTCGCGTATGTGCTGAAGGAAAGCTCTCGGGCTCCAGTTCTCCTTTCAGAGTCTCTTACGGCCCCCTGTTGAACGTCCAGCAGGGGGCGCCAGTCTGGTCAGAGCCGCTCGATCTCCCTGTATTTCTTGCGCAGGATGGAGACCTGGTCCTTGAACAGAACGGGGTCCAGTCTCATTTGGGAGTGCACCAGGGGCATGCCGCCAAACCAGCTGGCGAACTTGTTCATGCAGGTCTGCCGCTGGGCGAAGTGGTCCGGATCGGCCCAGCGCGAGGCTCGAGACGACTGACAGAGACACAAACACAAGATCAGAGTCCAGTTTATCTGAGATTTCTTCAAATGTAAGACTTTTTAAAACAGACCCCCGCTTACAAGATGTAAAATAAATCTCTGATGTCACTAAAAAAAAAAATATATATAAAAAATATATATAAAAAATAAATAAATAAATAAAATTATATATATATATATATATATATATATATATTTAAATATATATATATATATATATATATATATATATTTTTTTTTATTTATTTATTTTTTATATATATTTTTTATATATATTTTTTTTTTTAGAGACAACAGAGATTTTTTTTATCTTTTGTGGGGGGGGGTGTGTTTTAAAAAGTCTTATATTTAAAAAAATCTCAGA